CAAATATTGGAAGACTACTACCATGTCACTCCTAGTTCTTTTTTTGACTAAACTGGACATACCAAATTCCTACAACTGCCCTTCCTAAATTTTAGCCTTCACCCCCCCAATCATTTTCATTGCATTTCTCTGCACTCTTTTTCATATTGTGATGACCAGAATTGGATGCAGTATTCCAAGTATGGTCTTACGAAGACATTATAAAGAGTAGTATCACTTGGGATATTGATTCTTTCCCTCTGTTAGTGCAGCCTAGGATTGCATTGGCTTTTTTGGCAGCTGGCTCATATTTAAGTGATTGTCCACTAGAATTCCAAGAACCCTCATGCAGTTACTGTGGCTGAGTGAAGTTTTGTACCTGTAACTTTTTGTAGCTGTATCTCTGTAACAAAAGTCCCAGGGTAACTTTTCTTAGGTAATGACAAAATTCTCTTCCTATCCTTCTATAGTTCTAAATTGTTCAGGCGTTTATGTTGCCAATATTCATATCAGAAGAATATACATTTATCAGTTTGTTGACTCATACAAATAATGCCACTTCTTTTAGATTAACTTTACCTGTAGTTTCTGCTTAGAATCTCTGTGAGCAGATTCCATGCAGTATGATAATGAGTTAGCAGTCAGGTGAAATGAGCAACTGTCCCAGGTGTGGACACATATGGTTGAGAATAACCACACGTTCAACTTCGCAGAGGCTGAGGTCATCGCCCAGGATTCGACAAAGGGCGGCCGCTTGCTGAAGGAAGCCTGGCTGTCTGACCAGCATTCCATCAACTGACATGTCAACTTGCTACCGGCATACCAGGCACTAAGACAATATGAGCAGTCATGCAAGGGGCTCGAATAGGCAAACCGCCGACCACCCCTCTCCCGTGCAACTATCCAGAACAGGAAGGTGAAGGACCTGGATTACACATGAACAGACATACTGGCACAGGTTGCGGAGGAATGGACCAGACCGATTGCAGAGCTGGGGAGGAGACAGTGGATTGGTGCGGTCGACGCAGCGGGCGCAGCTGGGGGATTGTCAACCAGGACAGCTGCATGATGTGCTGACAGCACATTGAGCCATGACAGTGGGGGGAGTGACCAGGCAGCAATATTAGATAGCTGGTTGTTTCGTGACAAGTATTTATTTATTTATTTATTATTTAAATTTATATACCGCCCTATCTCCCTTACGGGACTCAGGGCGGTGAACAGGCAATAATAAAAATAACAATAAATATTGAATAAAAAGCCTGCTCTAAAATACCCCATATAAAACCCCTAGCAAAGCCCAATCAAAACTATGCCAGGCCAGCCGCATGGAATAGATGGGTTTTCAAGGCTCGGCGGAAGAGGCGCAGGTCCGTAGTTGTACATAGGTCGGGGGGTAGGTCATTCCAGAGGGCAGGAGCTGCCACAGAGAAGGCTCTCCCCCTGGGGGTCGCCAGCCGGCATTGACTGGCTGATGGCACCCTAAGGAGGCCCTCTCTCTGGGAGCGGACTGGTCGAAGGGAGATATTTGGTAGGAGGCGGTCTTGCAAATACCTAGGTCCATTGCCATGGAGCGCTTTAAAAGTTGTTACTAACACCTTGAAGCGCACCCGGAAGGCCACCTGCAGCCAGTGCAGCTCGCGCAGGAGAGGTGTTACATGGGAGTATCTAGAGGCCCCAAAATCCCCCGCGCAGCCGCATTCTGAACTAGCTGGAGCCTCCAGGTGCACCTCAAGGGGAGCCCCATGTAGAGAGCGTTGCAATAGTCCAGGCGGGAAACGAGGGCTTGAGTGACCGTGCGTAGGGTGTCCCGATTCAGAAAGGGGCACAACTGGCGTATCAGGCGAGCCTGATGAAAAGCCTCCCTGGCCACGGCCATCACATGATCATCTAAACACAGCCAAGCATCCAGGAGGATGCCCAGGTTGTGGGCCCTCTCCGCGGGAGCTAATGACTCGCCCCCGATAGCCAGAGATGGAGCCAACTGGCTATGTTGTGACACTGGAAACCACAGCCACTCGGTCTTGGACGGGTTGAGTCGAAGCCTGTTCCTCCCCATCCAGACTCGCACGGCCTCCAGGCACTGGGACATCACTTCCGCGGCATTGTTGGGGTGGTCCGTATGTCCAGCTGGCAGGGCAGGTGAGGGGAGGCAGGGCTGTGAGGTTGAGGCAGATGTCGGCCAACGTAACTGAATTAGGAGTGATACAGCCAATCATAGGCGGGAGGTATGTGCCGGCCACAATCCGGAATTACGCATCGAGAAGAGGTTAACGAGGCAATTATCCCCAATTCACAAACTGCCAATCAACTTGCACCTCGCAGGGTCCCCAATCCTGATGACCCTGGAGCGAAGAAAATAAAACGAGAACTCCTCACCGACCAATGGTTCAAAGATAATCAGGCCTCCCTAACGTGCAGGGATATGTTTGGCTTACATGGGGGGGAAACCGGCACAGGATGTGGAGGAATGGATCTGACCGACTGCAGGGCTAGGGAGGAGACAGCGGATTGGTGTGGTCGGCGCAGGGATTTTCTCTTGTCCTGGAATGCTATTATTGTCTGGCAATCTTATATGTGCTCTCTGAGGTATAGGAAATGACAATTTTAAGATAGGAGAGGAGAGAAGGGGAAAGCCCCTTTTTTCTAAACAACCCCTTCCCAGGCTCAGGACAAGCCCAATTCTCTTGGTTTAAGTTTATAGAACTGAGTATCAAATGGAAGAAATTAGATGAGGGAGTCAACTGGCAGCAAGACGTATAAAAAGAAAGATAACCAGTTACTCATGAGTCTGAAATTTTGTTCCCAAGTTTATGTCGCATGTCAGTGACTGGTTGAATTGAATTCTTGAGTAATAACTTTGTTGCCAGACACTTGCATTATGGATTTCTTTATGTATTCCATATGTGTATTATGAGTATATGATTTCTATTACTACTTACATCTAATGCATTGCTTTCATCTGATTCTTAAGAAATAGCTTTTCTCACAAAAGAATGAGAAAACCATGAGAAACTTTTCTTAAGCCCTAATTTGGGAATATTAAGCTCCTTGATCTCTAGTCATCTCTCATTTTGTGACATAAAATGAAGTTACTATTGGCAAATCCACTTTTCTTCCAAAGTCCCAAGGTGACATACAGTTATGTATGGAGAAAAACAGAATTGCTACTAAATGGCCTCCAGCATTACAACTAAACTACCATGTCAATTTTTTTTGGGTGTAAGTTGAAAACTAAATCTATATATATGTGGATGGGATCAGAGATTCAGATTCAAAAAAGGCTAGTCAGTACAGTAGAGAAAGTTTCACTCTGTATTTATGGCAAGAGAAGAACAGCTCATTATGAATCTTTGTTATTTTCCCTAGAGGCTTATTGGTTGATATTATATCTCTTTAATAGAAATAAAGGTTCATTTAATATACAGTTATTAACACATTCTGTTGGCACTCATTTAGCTAGGAAGTATAAAGACTTGCATATTTTTATAAAAAAATATCTGATTTCACAAAGAAATGTCATTCTCATATAGACTGTCTCATTATCACATCAAATACAGTACACAAGTCAATTAGAATATAATAATTCTGTGTAGCCTCATACATGAGACTACTTCCTATATTATGAGCAAATTAAGTTGTCAGTATACCAAGTTCTGTTTTTATTAATAACAAAATTAAAAGAAAACCCACCCAACCAGAGAACAGGGTACATTTTTTTCTGTCTCTCTTCTCTTTCTCATTTTTCCTTTCAATTTTTTTTTGCAGGATATATATAAATGATAAAATATATTCCAGAAATAATTCCAACATTCCTGGGCAACTCAAATATTTCCTGTTGAAAACCATAAAAAATGTGCATTTAGTAGAGGGGTGCATTGCCATCAGCAAGGACTTAGGCTAGTGGAAAATGATTGCATGAATTACAAAATGCCACATAGTACTGAATTATAACTTAAAATAAATGCTTTGGTGAAAGAAAAAAGATGTCAAGTTGGTGGCAGCACACTGAGATGATATTTAAAACTGACATATAAATGTACCAAGGAACATCTGTTTGAAGTTGTATCACACATGAAAGCAGTATACAGAATGTAAGTTAAAGTTTGCAAATATAGAAGTGCAAAATTAAAGAAAACCCACCAAAATAGAAAACACGCACATATAATATATGTATTTATAGAAGCCTTTAAGTACCCCACAGGGGTTGGCCAGGCTAATAATTGCCACCATCAAACAGGAAAGAAAGCAATAATCATGAGAAGAAGAAATGAACTAAGAAACCCCAACTAAGGCTCCGACACTTTTTTTGCACATGTTCCATCTTTATAGACTTCTTGTACTTATTAGCTGCATTGGATTTGTGGCAAGATTTGCCATCCAGAAAAGATGTTCCTCCAAAGGATGTTTCCCTCTGCTGCCATCTGAGTAAAGTTGGCATCTGAAAACCTAGAGAGGCTATGTGTTGAGATATAGTAGGAGGGAAGTTGAGTTTATTATCTTTCTGCTTAGAGTTATTTCTTTCCGGGATAAGAACCATGTCCAGTTTGATAATATCAAAAAATGAATAAATAAAAAAATATATAAATAACAGCTGAAGAATCAAGGTAATTCAGCACTTTCATTTGTTTGAGTCAAGAAAAATAAAAATAAAGAAAAATGTACATTGCCACATTGAACAATATTTTATTACTGTGTGCCAATTCCTCTTAAAAAAGAAAAAGAAAAAGAGAGAAAAAAGGAAAAGGAAAAGGAAAAAAAAATAGATTCAAAAGAAGTGAACTTGGTATTTGTCTCTTTTTTCTTTTTCTTTTTTAAAAAAGTGTAATATTTAATTATTGATTTTGTATGTGTTTTCTGAAGAAGTTGCTCCTCTGTGTAGTGAGTTAGCGTACATTGGGTGCAGGGTGGTGGTTGGAAGTTAGGATCAATTTTGCTGTCCTCTCCGTAGATTTTACAGGCGATTTGCTCTTTGCTTTAAGAAGAGAAAGTGATATTGGAAAAAGTCAGCACTTTTTAGATCAAAGCAAAGCACCCTTCACAAAGCCACAAACAAGAAGTAGGACAGAAAGTCCATGGCTTGTAGCTATCCTTGCACCTGCGGAAGAAGTTATAAGATATTCGCTCATCTTGTAGATTTCCAATGCTCCTTTATAAGGCTGTTTAAACATATACATTCATATATTTAATTAGCTCGCCAGCTTGGCTTTTGCGCCCATGACTTTCTTGGCATGCACTGCAAATAACAACACATACAAAGGATTTCAGTCCCATAGAGGTGCTTTGCTTTGTATTTTTTTGCTTTGTACGTTTTCCCCTAACAATATAATCTAGTCATATGGAAAAAGAGCACTATGAACACATTCTCAAATTGTTTTTTTATCCCCAAATCCCAATAATAACTTTGCAAAGTGAACTTTATGCCTCAAAGCAAGCTATGACCAGAGGATAATTCAAACCCTCATGTGTCAATATATATGGGTAGCAAGCTGTCTTTAGTTTGGTGGGAGACCAGTTCTGCAATCCAAAATTAAAATGTCTATTTTTAAAAAAGAATAGTGTATTGAGTTTTTTTAAAGAATATCTCTATTCATAGATATTCATAAGCCTATTGCAGGTTAGATGACACCTTATATTTTTATGGAGGGGGTATTTGTTAAGCTTTGAAATCCTGGAGAAAACTATCCATGCCTTGACTTAAATTTTAAAACAATTCAGCATAATAAGATCAGGTAAAGATATTTAGATAATCAGGCAAAGTTGCCTAACCTAGCTATAAGTCAGAAGTGGAGAAATTCTTTATGGAGCATAGGGATTCAGTGATATTTTGAGCTCATGGCCAGCCTTAGACTACAAAATTAAGCCTGTGTAATGTTTATGTATGTGCATATGAAGTTATGGCAGACTGGTGAGATGTCATCAGCCACAGACTAAACAACATGTCATCAGACAAAATAAAAATAATAAGAATACATTCCTAACTCAAAGAGGATCAGGATCTTTCTATTTCTGAGACCTGGTTGTTGAAAAACTATTCCCAAGCTCTTAGGATTGATCTGTATTATTCAGTCATGCACGTTTGCAGAAGATTTTTGTGCTTTGAATAGAATGTATTCTGAAAAATAAATTATATAGAATAATATACTGAAATGTATAAAGTGATATATTTGCTTTGCTAAGGAATGGTGCATTTGTGCTATGATCTACGTTCTATATATCTTCACAGAAATTAATTACACGAACAATAAAGATGGAGACAAAATATAATAACATGTCCCTTTGTCAGAACACATATCTATTTGATTTCATACTTCCCTTGCTCTTCTCTCATATTTCATACTTCCCTTGCTCTCTTCCTCTCTCTGTACTTCTTCTCCCTAAACTGTCAGCTAGCAAAGGGGGAGGAAGAAAAATATATAACTTCTGGAACCTGGTTTATCTCTCCGTTCTCAAGAGAAGGCGCGAAGAGTCATCTAAACATTGCTGCCATGACCAGAGCCGGCCCGATGTTATCTCCCCTTTCCCACAACTTAAAACCTGGGGATTGGCCAGTTTGAACCATCCAGATGAACTATGGGGTGGGGTTTGCTTGGGGACACTTTAACCTATCAATCTGTACGGGAGCCCCATAGATCCTGTCTAGTATGCCTGTTATCAACTTCTCCTAATAAAAGTTCCTTTTGGAAGAGTTTGCTTCCATGAGTTCTGCTTTCTTGGGATGAGGTATTGAAGTGGGTCCTGACATAAGACAGGATTTGCAATAGTAGTCAACCTGGAAGAACGGACCTTGCCAGGGGACTCTGCAAAGTCTACCATGTCGGACACCGGTGCAGAGAAGGAAGAAGCCACCACAAAGGGGGAGCTCTCCCTCTAGTCAGAACCCTGCCAGCTGTCCAGCTCTGAGACATCCTACACCTTGGAGGAAGAGGTGGTGGAGGCACACAGCCATAAGCCTTGCTGGTCCATGGGCATAGGCAAGAAGGACAAGTGGGAGAAAAAATTGAGAAAGGTGATGCTGAGGCGAGGCAGACACCAATTGGGATGGAAGCAAGAGATGGAGAGATCACTGCTCCTCAGCAAAGATGAGGACGATCGCGGGGAATAGTCGAACTGCATCCTGGAGAAGGCGATCGACCTGATGAAATCAACCCTCGTTTCCCTCAAAGATGAAAAGCCCAAACCCCACAGTGGCACCATTACATTGGACTGCAGCAAAGGAGACACCGAGGGGGGAGTCCGAAGCCGAAGCCCCAGGAACGTCAGACGGAGCAGCCAAGACTGCAGCCATCACGGCAGCCCCCACTCCATGCTGTGTGATAGCTGCTGATTGGGATGGACAACACCACAGACGATGACATAGGCATCGATCCATCCAGAAGTTCCCGCCACTGGACGTGAAGTTTCGGGGGGAGCCGCGGTGCCTGGATTTCTTCCTAACCCACGTCCTCAACTACATGGAAGAATACAGCCGAAACATCCGACCGACAAGGCTCAGATCTGCATCGTACAGGCGGCCCTGGACGGCGTGGCAGCTGACTGGTTGGTGGACCTACACGACTCCAATGCCCCCGAGCTCCAGAACTTCAACCAATTCATGTTCTCCCTTAGACAACAGTTCAAGGACCTGTTGGCAGACTGGAAGGCCTGTGAGAAGATTAAGACAGTGAAGCAAGGCAGGCCGAGTACACCCAGGAGTTCCAACTCATTGGTAGACCTCTGTCTGCCTTCCCTGGGGAGACCCACACTGATTGCACGACTGGTACATCCTGGCAGAGGAAGCCGAGATTGACCTGCTCAACAGACATTGCAGAGGGAACCGATCACCCCCTGAGCCATCACATGAGCCCGCAAAGCCTCAGTCCATGGCCAAGAAGACCACCGGCTGCTTCAAGTGTGGGAAAGAGGGACATCACGCCGCAGAATGCTGCTCGAGGAACCCCCAGCAGAAGGCCGACCGTATGCCAGCCGGGAAGTCAGGAAGATCACCCGCCAAGCCGTGAGAAATGGCCATGAGGGGCACCGAGGCCATTGAGTCCCCCCCGCCCAATGGGGGAAAGGAACCCTGGCCTACACCGCAGGGGCATCCGACTCATCAGATGACAACTCCAAAGACAAACCCCTGGTAAGTGGATCCATCGCGGCCCTCACCTGGACAGTGACTATCCTAGCCCCTTCATGCCCAAAGCTGTAAAAGTTAAAGCTTTACTAGACTCTGGCTGCAGGCATTGCCTTATTAGTCCAACGCTGGTGGGAACCCTGGGTATTCCGGTGAGGAGGCTGAAGAAACTGATATCCTTTGGTCAGTTAGATGGGTCCATAGCAGGGGGAATGCCAGCCACTCTAGCCACACTACCGATCCACCTTACGACGGGGGACCACAGAAGACCATAACATTCGTGGTGACCCCAGGCACGGAGTGCCCATTAATACTGGGGTTGGCATGGCTAACGAAATGGAACCCCTGAGAAGACTGGAGGACAGCAGAACTCAGGTTCCCAAAAGGGGATCAAACAGGATCACCACCCCAGGGAGGTCCCGAAAGTTGCCCTCCGGAGGGGGAGGAAAAAGCATTGCCCAAAATACCCAAGGAGTAAAAGGACCTTGCTGAAGTCTTGCTGAAGCGAGGAGCGGGTGGACGAGCTACCCCCTCCACTGACCCACGGACTGCACGATAGAAATCAAGCCAGGAGCAAAGCTCCCGAAGTCTAGACTCTACTCCATGAGCCCCGAGGAGCTACGAGAGATGAAAAAATTTGTAGATAAGAATTTGGAGAGGGGCTTCATTGAGCCAGCTTCCCCAAAGAAGGTAGTGGCCCCCGTCCTGTTCAAGGAAAAGAAAGATGGCACATTGCATATGTGCATGGATTATCATGCCTTGAATGCCATAAGCGAAAGCAACCTGTACCTTCTCCCCCTCATGAAAGACATGCTGTACCACCTATCAAAGGGTAAAATCTGGAACTAAGGGAAGCCTACTATCGCATTAGAATGAAGGAGGGGGACAAGTGGAAGACCGCGTTCAACTGCCCTATGGGATGCTACCAATTTAAGGTTTTGCCGTTTGGGATGCAGGGAGTCCCCGCAGTCTTCATGCAACTGATCAATGAAGTACTGAGGGAACACCTATACAAATGGGTCCTCGTCTACCTGGATGACATCCTTATATTTACAGAGACTAAAGAGGAGCACATAAAATTAGTCAGAGCTGTTTTGAAAAAACTGAAAGCAGCCAACCTCTATGCAAAATTGTCAAAGTGCGAGTTTAACAAACAGAGAATTGACTATCTGGGCTACCGCATATCAACTGAAGGCATAGAGATGGACCCTGAGAAGGTCAGGGTGGTGCTGGAATGGGCACCACCCTGCACGAGAAAGCAATTACAAAGCTTCCTGGGGTTTGCTAACTTCTACCATCAGTTCATCCCTTCTTTCGCCCAGATAGTCCTGCCTATCATGAACTTATTAAAGACGAAAGGGGGAGGCTCAGTAAAACCCAGTCAGCCACTAACCTGGACGATGGAATGTCAAGCCGCATTCAAAAGATTAAAGAGACTTTTTTCGGCTGAACCGGTCTTAAAACACCCCAACCCAGATAAACCGTTCATAATCCAAGTCGATGCAAGTGATGTAGCAGTAGGAGCAGTATTGCTACAGGAAAACGACAAGAGGCAGCTGCCACCCTGTGCCTACACATCCAGAAAACTCTCTGACATGGAGCAACATTGGGCAGTGTTGGAAAAAGAGGTGTACGCTGTGAGGTGAGCCCTCCTCACCTGGCGGCACTTCCTAGAAGGGAATAAAATCCCATTCCAGGTCTGGACAGATCCTAAGAACTTGGAAGCGCTAAAAACTCCCAGAAAACATGCCCCCAAACAAGCCCGGTGGTCATAACACTTCCACTGGTTTACATTCAAAATCAAACACTTACCAGGGAGGAGGAATTTCCTGGCAGATGCCCTATCCTGCATGTCCCAGTACAATAGCTCCCGGCCAACCATCTCCAAGCCACTCATGCCAGAAGCGCAGCTGGCAGCGCAAGTAGCCACAAGAGCTCAGGCAAAACTAAAGCAGCCGATAGCCAGCCAAGCAGGGACTGAA